AAAAAATTGAAATCTTTTTTTTTTTTTTTTTCGAAAAAAAAAAAAAAAAATTTTTTTTTTTTCCCCTTAAAAAAAAAAAAAAAAAAAAAAAAACAGCATCTCAAAAATGATTTATACCATGCTAAATGACCTGAGAATTGCCTTTTGTTACCAAAGATTACTAACTCCACATCTGCAAAAGGAGAATTTGGTCCTAACTGAGTCATAATTTAAGCTTCCTCAACATTGTTTTCTGGGGCTTCTTGAACTCTTACAGATGCCATTTCTGTCAGGTCAAACTCTGAGTTTTCTCTTTACAAGCCTGATCCCACATCTTCATTCTGCTACTGCTCCTCTTCTTCCATTAAGTCCAAGGATTGCTCACTTTCGCTCAGCTCCTCTTCCTCCTCCTCTTCTTCACTGCTAGACGGCTTTTTCTTTGGCTTTCGCTTTCTTACTTTGGCCGTCTTTGGTTTACCGGCTCGGCCAGAGTCGTTCTTTTGTTCGGTCATTGTGACTCTGTGGTTCTTCTTAGGTCTCCCGACCGGTCTACCTGTGAGGGTTATCCCTGTCCTTCTCCGAGTTTTCGTCTCCTTTTCTGCAAGCTGCGCCTCCTCTACTTCGGGGTCACCATCGGCGCATCCCTTCGGGTTTGTCGTTTTCTGTTGATGGTAACGCCGGACGTGACTCTTCAAGCTCACGTTGTGATTGAAGCATTTGTCGCACTGTTTACACTTGTAAGGCCTCTCCCCCGTGTGCAGGCGCATGTGGGACTTCAGATGGCTGGGCTGCTTGAAGGCACGCTGGCAAACCGAGCACGCGAACGGTTTTTCCCCCGTATGCACCATCGAGTGTCTCTGGAGAGCCACAGCCCAAAAGAATTCGATCCCGCAAACGGGACATTTCAGCGGCCCCGGCTTCAAGTGTCTCCTCATGTGGTTTTTGCGCTTCGTGTACGTGGCAAACGTCTCCGGACATTCGGGACATTTAAAAGGATCGCTTTCATTTAAGTGGGTCTGCTCGTGGGCCTTTTTGGCCACTTTTGTCTTAAACCCAACGCGGCAGTATTTGCAAGAATGCTCATAGTTTGCACTGTGCACCCTGTTGTGAAGAGTTAAGGCTTGGTCAGTGGCGTACCTCTTCCCGCAGGTGTTGCAAGAGAAGGGCTTAATTTTATACTCGCAGGTGTGAGGCTTTCGTTTTACAAAAAACATCCCACAGTCTGTGCAGAGCTCCCGGTCCTTCAGACTGCCGTGCATGTGGACTTCTTCGTCAGAGCTCTCGTTCTCAGACTCCAAAACTGAAAGCTCGTCGTCCGGGTCCCAGCTGTCCTCTGTCTCCGGGTCCCAGCTGTCGTCCGAGTCCTTGACCTCGCCCGGATTGCTGGATTCCTCCGTTTCTATGGTGTGATCACTCTCCTCGTCAACAACTTCGACATTCTCAGCGATCTCTGCTGTCTTTGTAGATGTTGCCTGTCGACCACACAACAACAAGCGAGGGATTTAAAACACAATGAATTCTATACAAACAAAATTTAAGATTGTTGTTTCTCAAACAGTCAAAGATATATTTAAAGCGTATGTTTACACTTATCAAAAAGTAATGAAAAAAACTACAACAACAAAAAACTTTTGTTATTTGTAGTCACTGTGATAGTGGCAATAAGAGTGAAACATGTAAGCAGATAAATGTAGTGGTTTTACTATGATTTTTTGTTTTTTTTTATAGAAGATGGACAATGATGTGGACGAATGTGGCAGAGCGTTTCTTTAGAGTTGTGGGTGAAAACCTAGATTTTCCCACCACACGCCAAAAAGTCGTGGCCAAGTCACCGAGCCCTCTGTTACCACACATCTTCAAATCAGGGAGTTATGTTTGTAATATGTGGTTTATATTATAAAAAGCCCCAGAAAAGCCATCCTTTAATGCTGTTCAAACAACTTCATTAGATTATAACCACTTCCAAACGTAGACAAATACATGCTGATCTTCTTAAATTCAGTCATCTGAGGTCTCAGAAATTACGATTTTTCAATGATGTCAGACTGAACGGGTATTCGAACACAAATGAAACTTAGATTTAAATTAGGGTTTATTTTAGTCTTCGACTTTAAAGTGAAAAACCAACTTGCTGCTGAAACATTCATGCAAGTTGCAGCATATGTTTATTACCAACTGCCTCCAGTTAGGATGACGTGATTTTGCTTATTTGACAATTAGAATTTATTTTTGACCTGAAAATCAAAATTGTACTAATTGTGTCAAACACAGATACTTTTTGAATTGCAACATATTCTTAAGGAAGTTAATATAACACCATTTTTAAAAGAAGAAAACCTCATTTGGACATTTGGTCCGTACCTCTAAAAATATTTCCATGCATTTGGTCTGATGATCCTCTGACATTGCAGTAATGCTGTTTTGGGTCAGATTCTTCCAGTGGTTCTTGTAGCCACACTGCCGGCACTGCTGGTTCAGGACTAAGAGGACTCCACAGACCACTTTCTCCGTTTTTACTTCAGATTGACACACGGGGCAAGTGGCACAGAACAGCCGGAGGAGCTGCTTTTCATTCACAATGTACCTCTTACTAGTCCGAAGCATGCTAACTCTGGGAAAGAAGTATACATCAGACTTTTGAAGTTTTCCATCTTAATATAAAATGGTAAAAGAAAAAAAAAAAAGTTAGAGGAAAACTCACTTTTCCTTGATAATGTCAAGGTTTTCGATTTTTTCCAGCATCTTACAATAATCTGACGATGAAGATTCAGAGGCCTCGCTTGATGCTGGGCTTGCAGGGACGCCTGCAAAAAAACAACAAAAAAACCCCTAGAAAACATTCAATGCAAAAGCAAGGGGTTTTCATATTAAATGCCTAAAATTTAAAGGCAACTCACTTGTTAAATAGCAGTTCTCCTCTTTGTTTAATGTTGAAGATCCTGGAGTTGGACCATGGCATTTGTTAAGTTGGTATTCACAAGCGGTGCCTTTGGGCTGAATAATATCCTAAAACAAGCAAAAACAGTCAAATACATGGAATTATGAAAACTTGCTTGAAGCAACACAAGTCTGCAAATTCTGCAACAACCTTGGTGGTACAGAAATTGTTCAACAAATGAGTATTTGGAAAAAAAAAAAAAAAAAAAAAAAAACCTTTTACATTGCCTTGAGGCAGATGCTTTCTTGCAGACCTTGAGTGCTGAATGTACAATGGCCCACAACAGTTTCTACTGTTGAAATGGCCCTGAAGAAGCCTATTTCAAATGGGTATGTTTTTCAGGGACAGTACTTGTGGGGCACTAAATACAACGCCATGCAGGGTTAGTACAGTTACCTAAAAAAAAAGAGATCTTCTAAATAGACACAAACCCTAACCATGCGACCAATTAGTTACACAGTGGGACAGGCCAATATTTCAGCAGCATTGGTTCTAACTAACATACAGTAAACAGTGTTGACCTTTGCTGACTTCGTGTCGATTAGGGATTGTTCGTATGTTTACCATATTTTTTGGGGCTTGTATTACGTAAGAAAACAATATAAATACCCTCACTGTGCATCCACCTCAGGAGCAGTAAAATCACGTAACCAATGACGCTGGAAAACAGCATAAAGGGCAAACTTCTTCAGATGTTTCACTTCATGAAATCTCACCTGTTTGGACTCTGGTTCGTCAGGCGAACACACTGACGGTACAGCATCAGATTTTAGCTGGGTCGAACCAGCAGCTCGAGTCACTGTTAGAAAACAGTTACTTGTGAAGTGTTCACTGCAAACACGGATATCAGTCCACGAGGTTTCTTTAAGTCTCTGACCATTGACTTCGAAGAGAAACTGGACCCACTCCAGTCTCCTCTCTGGGTCTGCTGGAAGAATGAAGTGTTGAGCTCTGCGACGCCATGACTCACACCCGACGACGGAGCACATCCTGGATTTAAGTTTGGTCACCAGCGTGTACAAAGTCTGGAACTGTACACTTAAGTAAGAAGTTAGCTACCCAACAATCGTCAACAGCACAACATTGCTAAAAGCTAACTAGTGATGCTTCAGCGGCGGTGGAGCGCGAAGGGGCGGGGTTCCATGGAAGGGAGCCTGGACTGATGGGAATTCAGACGACGTTTCAAGATCCAAATCATTTGGCTCCGCTCACAGTAAAGACGTTCATTCGGCTCTCAAGCCCCACTTCATGTCAGCGTAATTCCATAACCCTGAAACCTTTTTGAGGAACTATTGTGGTTTATAGAGCCTAGAGATGGTAAAACGGGAATAACGTTTAGGTTATTGCCTTACTAGAATATGTCCCTATTACGTTAGAAAAACGTATGAATTTTTTGAACTAAATTGAATAATCCCGTGTTTAATTCTACTATCTTTGAGCAGTTTTTATTGTGCTTTTCTTTACAACAATTTTTTCTGTTTCTCTCTGTTGGAGAGTATATGTTTTCTATTTCTCTTGTTAATATGGTTGGTAATTGTTCAAAATTGAAAGAAAAATCGGTTGTCTCTCCTCTATTGTTCTTGTTTTTTATCCTTAATGTCATTGTGCTTCCTTATTTCTGCAAATATTATTAGCGCTCAATGTGTCAGCGCTGCTTTTGGTTTTAGATTGCCTCTTTTTAAGTGAAACATTTTGTGGTATTCTCCTTTTGCATGATTCTTTTATCAATGAAGATGACTTGGTAAAGGAATGTTTATATTCCTCAAATTCCACATTTTTGGTCTTTTCCCTGATTGTAGCCGTACATAAATCCTGAACAAGCCCGATATCTGTAAAGTGTTCAGTACAAACCAATCTGTTTCAGGGTGCATCTTTAAATAGTTGCCTGTTGATTTTGATATAAAATTGCCCTGTACAGTTGCTCATGGTGATTTACAATAACCCACAAAGCACATGATAGGCTTTAAGATTTGCCCTTTTAACATTTGCGTTTACTCTTTTAACATTTATTTTAAAATTAGTATAGGAGCGGAGATTGCATTAACATTGAGCTAATTTATTGTGTTTCTTTTTCGATTAGCCATGTCTATATGGGCGGACTGTCACTGCTGGGTTGATATGATTTGTGGTCAAGCGTACACCGTTCAGCCTCTAGATTCACTTTCATTTCTGATTATCAGTCATATTATTTTATTTCTGGAGTGCAGTAGAATGGGATCAACAGACCTCATTTCTCAGCTACCTTATTTGTCGGTAAGAATCTAAATAGTGGTTATTATTATAAAATCCTCCAGGAAAACTAGACATACAGAACTGTATGTGCCTGAAGGGAATGTTTTCTTCCCGTAACATGTTTGCAAATTAATAAGTCACAGTGGTTTCTTACTGTGTTCTAGGATAAATATTGTTTTTGAACTTCTCAGTTATTTTGGCTTGTAGAAAAAAAAATGCTAAAATTAAAAGGAAACAAGATGGAATTTTAATTATCCACTGAGATACACAAATACTGCTTTGAACCAATTTCTTGTCGATAATCTTTACTAACACCTATGTGAAAAAGAAAAATAATTGCTTAATCTGAAAACTAAAAATAAATATGCAGGTTAGAAGGACCTTGAACTCACAGTGAGTACTGATCGTGGTATGCATATTTTTTAATAACAGTACTCTATATTTACTCCATATCTCTAGACTAAGGATTAGAGATTTTGTTCCAAATAAAACACTGAGGATGGCAAATCTGGTATGGCTCGATGATAAACAACATAAAATTTTAGGGCACAACTTGAAACGATACAGTTGGCACAAAAGAAACCTAAATATCACAGAAAGAACATCATACACACACAATAAAACATGGTGGTGGAAGCATCATGCTCTTGGATTACCTTTCTTTAGATGGAACTTGGTCTCAGTTAAAATTTTTATCTTTTATGCAAATAAAAAAAATAAACATTTTTGCTCTCCTGGAGTTTTCATGGATGAAACTATTAAATAATTTTGTAAACCTCCCTGCTGCAAGAATTTTAAATGCTTCAAGGTAGCTACCTACCGACAGACAACTTTTTATTTTTATTTTTTAATTCTAGCACATGGGCCTCAACCATCATAACACAGAATACTATGTATTCCAAATCTGCTTCTGAGAAATTAAGAATTTAATATTAGCCTTGATTAACATACTGTCAACCACAATTTGCATAAATGTTTATTACGTATTTTGCAGTTTGAACATTTCATTCACTACATAAGTCAATGATCAAGTACTCTGAAATAACATTTTTCTTCACATTTTAAGGCAATACTAAGCAGTCGTTTCATTTATACAATATAAAAATCAATTTTCAGTGTCAGCATTTCATCCTTCTTCTTGTGAAGGATTGAAGCCGGGCGCCTCGTTCTCTTCATAGGTAGATTTTTTATTTCCGCCTCTTTCCATTTAACTTTCCAGTTTTCGCAGCATTTGATTCAAAGTTTTTAGGCCGCCCTATTGGTCTGCCTGTGCCCCGTCTTCTAGTTTTAGGTCTGTAAAACCCTTCCATTCGCGTCTCATCGTCAGTAATCTGTGCGTCACAATCTGTGTCCTGTTCCTCTTCATCGCTGTCAAGATCCTGGTCTATACTTTTCCGGAACATGTCAGGTTCAGAACTGTTGGCGTCTCTTTTCGTACACATGATTTCTGCATCCGTCTTTGGTTCTGGTCCAGAACGAACAGGGTGATAACGTTGGACGTGGTTCTTCAAGCTCACGTTGTGATTGAAGCACTTGTCACAGTGCTGACACTTGTAAGGCCTCTCCCCAGTGTGCAGGCGCATGTGGGACTTCAGATGACTTGACTGGTTGAAGCCACGCTGGCAAACTGAACACTTGTACGGTTTTGCTCCAGTATGGATCAACAAATGCCTCTGAATGGAAAGAGCACGGAAGAACTCAACACCACAGAAGCGACATTTCAACTCTATCGTCCCTCTGTGATTTTCCAGGTGGACTCTGCGCTCCTTGTTTGTGGCAAAAGTCTCCGAGCAGTCTGGACATTTGTACGGTTTCCCTTGGGTTATGTGCATCTGCTCATGTGCAAATTTGTCTGCCTTCAACTTAAACGTAACATTGCAGAATTTGCAATTGAACTCATAGTCCTCGTTATGAATTCTGCTGTGAAAATTCAAAGCCATCTCATTGACGCATCTTTTCCCACAAATGTAACAGGGATAAGGCTTCACTTTGTGCTCACATGTATGAGGTTTTCGTCTGTCAAAGAACCTTCCACAGTCTGTGCAGAGTTGGCTGTGTATGGGGGTGAGTGAAAGATAATCGCAGTAATCAATATGGTCTACAGAATCGCTGCTTTGTTTCGCAGGGAATAATTTCACGGGGAAAACACCCCGCACTGGCTTCCAGTCCTCGTCCGAATCCATTTCACCCGAATCACTTGATTCCACCGATTCATCTTTAGGGTCACTCTCCTCATCAAGAACAGCATCGATCTCGGGAATCTCTGAGGTGATGCTGGAGGTTGCATCTTCTGTTGCAGCCTGTGGCAAGAAGCATAATTGGTTTCTTATATTTTAAACATAACATAACAGGAAAAGGGGGGGACAGGAGGGAGAATACTTTAAATGTATAATTTCTTTTTGATAGAATGAAGGCCCTTTGGGATAAATTTTAACATCAACCAAGCAATTCAATCTGTCTCTATATCAGCAAAGTCCAGTGCTCATAACCTGGAGACACAATTTTGATCTAAACTTGACTCTGGATTCATGAATCCACCTCGTTTTCAGCTGAGACGGGAACACTTACCTCCCAGTCAGAGCTCTCCTCAGCTCCCATATTTAAACACAATGACGGGACAGCACTGGGCTTCAGCTGGACTCTGTCATTCACATTAACAAGACAGTCGTCTGGAAAGTGTTCGCTACAAACAGAGATATCAGTCCATGACGACTCCTTAAAACACTGCTTGTTGACTTTAGCTATAAACATGACCCATTCCAGTCTCTCCTCCGGATCTTCTGGTAATTTAAATCGCTGCGCACTGCGACGCGACGAATCACATCCAGCAACTGAGCACATCCCGGGTGTGCGCTTCGTTTTCTCTGACTCTTAAGCAACCTCTTGAGAAATGTTTCAAGTGCGTAACGTTAAAGTAGGAAGCGGCATTTTTCTCGCAGCTGTATTGAGCTAAATTAGCTAGCGGTATCTGTTTGGGTTGATAGTCGGACGGGCGGAGTTTCGTCAGAGGGTACGAATGGTTTATTGTCAAGCGTACACCGGTATTAAGTTCATTGCACATCGAAACGCTTTTAAGTTCAGCTCTAAGTGAATGAACAGTAAAACCCAATAAAATTATTATTATTATTATTATTATTATTATTATTATTAAAACTAATGTGTTCAGGTAGTCATTCATATTAATTACAGTCAATGCCACAAGATGGCGCCAATTATCTTTAAGTTCTCTGAGTTCCGTTTTTGAAGTTCTGTTATATCCAAGACATATTTTACGGAGATCTTGACTTTTTTTTTTTTTTCCACTTTATGGAATTAAATGATATACAACTATGATTTAAGGGTAAGTTTAACAAAAAGATTAGATCAAACTAAAACAAGTGATCTGTAAGTACAAATAATCGCTGAAACTGCATTTTATCATTTCTTGGCATCCTTTGTTAAAAATAAAAGCAATAATATATTAAAAATTCTGAAATGCATGAGAAACCGTTTATGTTAGGCCTCAAAGTGTTGTGTGCTGTGAAAGAGTATTTGATCCCTTGCTTCTTTTTGGTCCAAGGTAAACGCTTTATTCGATAAAGAAAATTTAAAAGTAAAAAAAAAAAAAAAAAAAAAAAAAAAAAAAAAAAAAAAAAAAAAAAAAAAAAAAAAAAAAAAAAAAAAATAAAAAAAAAAATAAATAAATATTAAAAAAAAAATTTTTTTCATTTTTACCAT